ATGCCAGAATTGGTGGGGACATTAAACACCCTTTCAACTCGTCCATCGCGGTCTCGCATTCTTGGCTCCAAGTGAATGTTACTGGGGTCTTGCTTCTCTTTCCTCCACTTACCAATGCATGTAGTGGTTTGGCGATTTGAGCGAACCTTGGGACAAATCTTCTGTAATAGCTCATAAAACCAAGCACTTGCCTGACTTCTCTCACATTTCTGGGAACTGGCCATGTGTCCAAAGCTTTAACTTTCTCGTCATCCACTTTTATGCCTTCTGCGGAGATCTGGTGCCCTAAAAACTTTACTTCAGGCCTTAGAAGGAAGCACTTGCTTGGCTTTAACTTCAGACCATGTTGTCTTAACCGGTTAAAGACAAGTTCTAACCTCTCACAGTGGCTTTCAAAATCTCTGGAGAAGATAATGACATCATCCAGATAGACCAGAAGAATGTCAAAGGCCAAGTCACCCAGCACCACACCCATCAGGCGCTGAAAGGAGGCCGGAGTGTTGCACAACCCGAACGGCATCCTGGTCCACTCAAACAGCCCAAATGGGGTGATGACGGCTGTCTTCTCCCTATCTTTCTCACTCATAGCCACCTGGAAATACCCAGCAGTCAAATCCAGTGTAGAGAACAGTTTGGCGTTGCCCAACGCGCCCAAGGACTCATTCACCCGTGGAAACGGATAAGCGTCCTTATACGTCACTTTGTTCAGCTTTCGATAATCGCAGCAGAAACACACACTGCCATCTTTCTTCATTACGATAACTGCGGGTGATGCCCAGGGGCTGCTTCTCTCTTTGAGGATTCCCTGGGACACCAGGTTCTTGACATGCTTTTTGACTTCTTGAAATATATGTGGTGGTACTCTACGATGACGCTGTTTTATCAGTGGTGCAGTAGGGATATCATGCACCACAGCCGTGGTGTAACCATAATCTTGGTCATCTCTGGAGAAGACATCTCTGTGTTTTGATAACAACTCGGTGAGCCTTTCACGTTCAACTGGAACTGGTGGCTGCACGAGTAAGTTCTTATCAGTCTGAACCTTGTCTTCTTTTAATTTTTTGACATGAAGTACACTGTCATCTTCCTCCAATTCAATAACATCCTTTGTGACCACCTCTTTTGGCTTAAAAACAGAAGCCACTCTAAATCGGGGTGCAATTCTAAAGGTCTTTCCACTCAAGTTCAGCATACGCACAGGGACCTTTCCACAGTCTGTTTTAGCAAGAACATGAGCCACTAAGAGGCCTTTCAGCAAACTTGTGCAAACAAGCTGCAGGTTCTACTAGCACATTACTCTTCACCCTAGGTGACACTCCACAGCGGCCCTCAAGTACCTTCTCACAGCGGGGAGGAATAGTGACAGCTTGTCTTCCAGCAATCTTAACATACCCAATCCTTCCGTCAGGCCCTAGATGTCCCGCTTCCTTCTCAACTCTAGCAAGTACCCTCCGGACTTGAACTTCATCTCGCTGACTATACTTCCGTCTACCTTTTCCATCCCCTCCGCTGAGATGAACAGAGACTGCACTTCATTGAGTATATTAATTCCGATGATCCCAGATACTCCTTTCATTTCCTTGACGTCAGGACTTGTGTCAGTCAGAACGAATATACACTTCCTAGGAAGCACTTTTCCCAGACATTCTACATCAGCCTGTAAGCAACCTAAGACAGGAATGTCTAGTCCATTGGCCGCTGTCAGTTTAACCCAGCATGCAGAGGACAACTTTAGCTTTTGCTCCCCAAAGTGCTGTCTGAAGTGTGACTCGGAAATGGTGGACACCTCTGACCCTGTATCTAAGAGGCACTTGGTCTTGACACCAGCTATCTTCACCTCAACAGTGAGACAATCCCCAAAAGCACTATCCTTCAGTTTTTCAGCAGTCTCATCAGCCAGCCATTCTGCTGTGTGACATCTAATCAATGAGGGCCCTGGGCTTTTCTGTACTGCACCTCCCAAGTCTTTCTCTGTAACTTCAGCTGACTCCACTATACACTGTGGTGGAGTTGGTCCCCTCCCAGACTTGCCACCTTGTGGACAATAGCGACTGGTGTGTCCGGGTTCACCACACGCATAACAAATATAACGGCCTTCACTGTCTTTTAACGGTAATTTCTTTGGACGGCTCTGCTGTGGTCCATTCCTTTCTTTTGCATGAACGACTTGATATAATTCCTCTTGACGAGCAGCTATTTTCTGAATTGCTTCATGCAACTTCTCTAAAGACAGAGTGGAGGGAGCATCCTGTGCTGCAGCAGCATTTACTATCCCTCTGGCACGGGTACTGGGCCTGACATTAGTAGAAGGCTGTGCTTCCTCCTCTTCTGACCAGGTAATTGCCGCTTGCATCAACTCCACGAAACTCAATTCTGGCTCAGCCTTAATTCTGCGCTTCATCTCTCGACGTAAGAAGTCATCTTTTAGGCCTAGCACCAGTTGCTCTTTCAAAACCTTTTCAGCATCTGCCACTCTAGCTGGCTCTCGGCGCTGAACACGATTAAGTCTTTCCCGAAGGTCATATGCATAGGAACGTATTGTTTCTCCTGTATTCTGAGCACGATCGTAAAAGTCTTTCAGCCTTGTACCAATGGGCACTTTATCTCCATAAGTGTCAAGGAGAACAGTGAAAATGTTGTCAACAGATTCCTCTTTTCCGTCCATCATGAACTTCACTGTGGCTTTGGCCTCATCTTTTAGGTGCTGTTTCACCAGCTCAACCCGGTCCTCAGTGGGCACCCTCATGACTTGAAATGCAGACTTCATTGATGCCACCCATTCTTCAATATTCAGCTCTCCTGGTTTTGATACGCAACCAGTGAAATCAGGGAGCTTCCGGTCTCTAGGGATATAAATGGCAGCTGGGGTCATTTGCGCAGAGGCCTGGCTCTCTATTACCACCTTTGCTAAGGATAGGGCTTCTCTCTGCTCCGCCCTGGATTGGTCAAGTGCCCCTGCCTGCTCAGCAAATCTCCTCTGCATCTCTGCCATCTCTTTTTTTAGTTCCTCCAGTTCAGACATCTTCTTACTTGACAACAAACAACTTGTGGGCCTGGAGACGTGTGACTACTTAAATGTGCCTAATTCGATCCTGTTCGTGACGCCACTTTTGTAACGGGGGTATTTAGCCCGTTGTGTAGGGGAAATGGATTACGGCTGCCCTGGAAGTTTGGACAACGAAAGGATCTTGGTCCCCGCTCCCCAAACTTTTTAGTCTCGTTACACACTAACGTGTGTATGTGGTTTCTTACCTTATTGTGTTGGAACACTACTGATTGACAAGGGTAGGCTTCAGGTATGGTAACATTACACGGTGGCTTCCTGAAGTGAAATTGCATACATGAAAGTACAGTGTGATATGCTCCTCCCTCCCCAGATCTAATAAAGTAAGTGAGACTTCCCCACCCCCTGACAGCTCTCAACAGAAAGGTACACTGTACATAAGTGCAGAAAAAAAAGGAATTAAACAGAATTTATTATTTCTTGTTTGAGTAATCGATTAAATGAAAATCATAAAAAGAATTTACAGTCTTTGTGCTGTCTTTTCAAATTCACACAATCACCTTCAACACAGCAGTTGAAAACTTTTCACTTGTGGTATAACAAATCCCTTATAAAACTTCAAAATGAGATCACTTGCAATTTGTAAATTGGTAAACCCACAAATTCTCACCTTTTCAAATGATCACCTTCAAACAATCACATTTGTAAACAACAACAACAAAAACAAAGCATACATAATTAAAGCTCACCTCAGACTGAGCACTTATATGAAATGTCTCTTCAAATGTTTACTCACAGTTCACGAGTTACTCACGGTTACTCAAGTTCCATAGTCCTTTTGAATTACCACAGTTCCCCGTTTTTCAGTTCAGTAACTAAAAAAAACTGAAAACATGAGAGGAATACCGTAGAACGATAAAGTAGAGTACGTTGAAATAAACTGAAGATCAAGCAGTTTCAAGTGTGCAAGTTCAAAAATTCACTCAGTCTCAAAAAAAACATCAAACCGAGATGAATCAACCTGAGATGTCACTTGGATGGCAGGGTAGCAACACAATCTTCAACCTTGAATCGGCGGATAAGTTAAGTCTCTGCATTATACAACGATCTCGGTCTCACGTGCTCTGACACGTGCGGGAAACTTAATTGCATGTGAATGGTCCCGTTGAAATGTTAGCTCTTGGCGCTGCTTTTCAATCAAAACACCAGAGGTACAAAATACAGCAAAAGGACATGCAACAAGTCACTTGATGACAAAAATCAAGAAGGGTTTTCACTTTAAACGTACTCACAGCTTCCGTGGCCTTCGATATGTTACTGCGTCATTTTAACAGCCAACACATACCACTAGGACAAAGCTGAAAAAAACTCCTTTCTGCTATGAACTGCGGTTCACTGTCCACACTTTCACTTAGTGCTGTCGTCCTTTATTCGACTTAAGCCTCGATAATCTTCCGTTGAAGCAACTTTATCGAACGAGCTTCTCGATCACAACACTACACTCACTCATACGCCGCGCTCTTCTTCGTCTCTCCTTGCTGCACTTGCAGTACGCGCAAAAAGCGGACCACTCGCCAAAATAAAAGTATCCCAAAGATAATCTCTTTTCAAAATAATATACCCGTTACAAATGTATTCCTACCCAGGAGGGCTAATAACACACACAGAGCAATAAACATCTGCGCTACTGTCAATTCATAAGGTATAAATGATTGCCGGCCATCAAATGCACACGGGCCTCATACAATTCATATCAAGCACATTTGAATATCAATTTCAGCCTTTCTTTTGCAGCAGCATCCACACATACAATTTCAATAGTATCCCTCTTCATTTGCATTGTGAATCTGACCCTGTCTCTTCAGCATTGGTTTTCCTTGAAAAAGCACTGTTTGTGCACGGTTAGTATAATGAATATCTCAATAGACTGTGGACTGTGGAGTCAGGGCCATGTTGAAGAAAAACAACAACCTCCAAAAAACAATCTTTGAGGAGAAGAGAAAAGCAATGAATATTTTACAGGGTGAGCGCAGCGGAGGGCGTTGTGAAATATTTTTACTATTTAAAATAACTGCTTTCTATTTGAATATATTTTTAAATGATTGCTGTGATCAAAGCTGATTTTTCAGCATCATTACTCCAGTCTTCAGTGTCACATGATCTTCAGAAATCATTCTAATATGCTGATTTGCTGCTCAAGAAACTTTTTTTTATTATTATTATTATTAATGTTTTTTGAGCAGCAAATCAGAATATCAGAATGATTTCTGAAGGATAGTGTGACTGGAGTAATGATGCAAAAAATTTAGCTTTGAAATCACTATAAATTACATTTTAAAATATATTCAAATAGAAAACAGTTATTTTAAATAGCCTAGTAAAAATATTTCAAAATTTTACTGTTTTGCTGTACTTTGGATCAGATAAATGCAGGCTTGGTGAACAGAAGAGACTTCTTTAAAAAACATTAAAAATCTTACTGTTCAAAAACTTTTGACTGGTGTATAGGCAACTTAAATTTTTCTCTCATTTCTATCTTTTAATTGGCTTAGAAATCAGATAACTGCTGGACAATAGCCAATAATAATGATTTGTTTATATACTACAAACACTTTTTTATCACATAAGGCAGAATAGTTTCAATACTGTAATAAATGCTATGTCAGTTAGCACTGCATTGTTCATATACTTTATTTATTACCTGGAGATGACTTGACAAACACAAATAAACCATATTGTCGCAGTCGTATGTTTAATGTCTTCATGTTTCCAAACGTTGTTGTTTTTCTGAAAACAACTGTTTTCATACAGTGATAGCTGGACCCTTTTGTCCATATTAGGAATTTCCTCATGCGACTTTTTGCGCGAGAGCGCCCTCCGGCTTCGAGTATGAATGAAACATACACTGCACGGAGTGTTTTGCGTTCCGTGATGTTGAAACATACACTGCACGGAGTGTTTAGCGCTCCGCGATGTTCATCTCGCCTTATTCTGGGTCCAAAAAAAACATCAGGTCATGTACAGACTATCCTGTCTCTTTGAATTTAAATCTATATTTATTCACACCGGCTCTTGAAAACCTCTATGCGAACACACTTGCCCGGAAAAGTGCGGGGGACGAATTTACGTGATATTAAAAGTGGGGGGGACACGTCCCCCGCATAATCTACGCCCCTGGGAGGTTTCATAGACTTGGAAAAATCATTTTTCAGAAGTTTGTATAGGTAGGCTACAGACATCTGTTGTAGGTGTTCTTGGCCGTTTTTATGAGGCTTTTTTTTTTTTTTATAGTGTTCATATCGATATCTGAATTATATC